TTGCACCATTAATCTGCAAATCGAACCCCATAACTGGTGTAGAAGTATTAATGTTTAATAGCTTATGGTTTTATCTTTTATTTGATAATAATGTTTGATAAAATTACTAAATATATTAACTTCCAATTTCGCCAAAATCCAGTTTTTTTTTTTACCAGTTTATTAATTACTACATAATTAATCTTCTAATTACTAGTTTATTACATATATATAAACTGATATTCCATTAGTTTTTAGAAGTTTGAAACATGGCATTGAAGCAGATTAAATCATCATCAAAAGTCATAACCGGAGCAAGACCTACCTTTAAAATGATTACAAAATTTGTGACATTATTGCAATCAACATAAATATGAGCTTTTTCAAACTCGAAATGATTAGAAGAAAAATGTTATCAGCTTGTATGAAGCAAACCTTTTGAATTATCACCAAAAGTCATTACAAGAGCAAGAACCGCCTTTAAAATGATGAAATCGGGAACGGTCTCTAACGATCACGACACGATCATAAACATCAGATACAAACTTTGCAAAATTATGACAATCAACACAAGTTCTGAGATTCTTGGTCACTCTAATGGTTGTTCCTGGTGGAGTCACCAGAATCCCAAAGGCTATAGCTAGCTTCTCGCTATGGTATCTCAACGCGTATCCCTTCTCTTCTTCTGAATCAAGATTGTGCAGTTCCGATGTGATTTCCGCCACATAACCCGCAATCTTGAGCTGCTGATTGATTTCCGCCAGCATTTTGTAGATTTCTTCCTTCCGCGGATGCGAAACATCGTCTACTATAAACTCATGAACGGTTCCTTGTAGCTCGATTGCGCTGCATCCGGGTTTGGTCTGGATTCTTTTATCCTTCATTAAAGAACGCAATTCAGTCACTTTCTCCCATTTCCCAACCGATGAGTATGTGTTGAGTAACAGAACGTAATCTCCAGCTTCTTCAGCTTTGAGTTCGATAAGATGAGAGATCACACGTTCCCCAAGTTCCACATTTCCATGGACTCTACAAGCCCCGAGAAGCGTACGCCAAATAGTAGAGTCCGGTTTCATCTCCATTGACTCTATGAGGCTGTAGGCTTTATCAAGTAGACGAGCACGTCCCAAGAGGTCAACAATGCAACCATAGTGATGTAAATTTGGCTTTATCTTGAATTCACCACTCCTCATTCTATCGAAAAACATCATTCCTTCATCGACCAGCCCGGAATGGCTACAGGCAGACAATAAACCCGTGAGTGTCTGTTCCTCTGGAGAGATTCCAAACTTCAACATTTCGTTGAAAGCTTCAATGGCTTCTTTTCCAAACCCATTCATGGCTAAACCCGAGATCATAGCCGTCCACGAGATTACGTTTCTTTCACGCATTCGATTAAAAACTTCGTAAGCTTTATCCATAGACCCGCAACGTGAGTACATTGAAACCAGAGTGTTACTCAAATTCAAAGCACCACTGAGTCCGTTATCATCGATAAAGTTATGAACTTGTTTACCAAAATCCAACGCCCCCAAGTTGGCGCAAGCTTGTAGAGCCAATAAGCATGTTACATTGTCTGGTTTTACACACCCATCGACATCGTTCTTCATCTTATCAAACAAAACCAAAACATCCCTCGTACGTTTGTTACGGAGATAACACGAAATCAACACGTTCCAAGAAACAGTATCTCTCTGGGGAATTTCGTCGAACACTTTACATGCATCAGTACTGTTTTCACAAGTTGAGTAAAGATCCATCAGAGTCGTCATAAGAAGACTATCCGAGAGAAACCCATCACTGAAAATCTTCCCATGAATCTGCAAACCACCGAGTAAGTCACCTGATTTGATACAACACTTGAGAGCAAAAGAAGACGATAGTGGATTAGCAGGAAGAAAGCTGTTTCGTCTAAGAGCTCGAAACAAGCGAAACCCTTCGCATGGAGTTTGGCTGATTGAGAAAGCTCTGATCATGGTGTTGCAGTGAGAGAGAGTTGGGTTCAATCTCTGGGAGAAAACTCGGCATGAGTAATTGATGTCTCGAGGAATGAGAGAGAGAGCGAGACGAGAGAGGAAATGGTGGAAAACGTCGGAGTTTCTGATTAAGGAAGTGCGGAGTAAGACGGCGTGAATCTGCCGGAGATGGAGTTTTCCGGTGGAAGATACGATCAGAGAAAGAAGGTGATCGTCGCTAGTGCTTATGAACTTCAACATAGTCTTTTGGTGAAGAAAGCACTAAGCTTTTTTTTTTTTTTTTTATAACCCAGTATCCAGACCACACAGTGATCTGACTAGCCCACTGGGCCTAAGCCCGCGTCACAGGGATTTTTAAGCCTCCACTTAAGGGCCCCCTGATAAACTGGTGGTCTGGGGCGCCTGAGCAAGTCCGCAGGTAAATTCCCAGGTGGCCACAGGAGTGAGAGAGCGAAACTGCGTCTGGGGAGGATCGATCCCTGGCCTAGACCAACAGGGCGATCCTTCCAACCAAACGAGAACCACTCGCCCACCACCATGTGGTTAAAGCACTAAGCTTTGATAAAATAAAGACATTCAATTAAAAAAAATTTAGTTATGAGCATTTCAAAAAATCATCTCTAATTTATTATATATGACAACTTAAAAAAAGTACGTAATACAAATAAAATATAAAATAATAAAGTGATAAAAAAATATTTAGTGTTGTGTATTACATAGACATTTAAAGTTACTAAGCAGAAATAAGGTAGGCACAATTATTTTTTGTGAAGTCACATAAAAAATTACTATTGTATATTATAAGAAAAAAATTGATATATAAATTCTCTTCAAATTTATTAGTTAATATTTTGTTAGACAGTTCTTCCAACATCCTTCGATGGTATACATTATCAGGTCTTGAGAGTTTGTGCAGACGAAATGATCTCCTTGTGGTTTGCATGGTGGTTGTCCTACCTTTCTTCCTGTGATAGGATTTGTCAATGGCTTGTCATCTTTGAAAAAATTACCTATATATTAAAAAGAGATAAAATAGTTTAAAATACTACATATAATATTGGTAACAAATGATGTTTAATAATGGGCAAAACGTAAAATACTGTATATGACATACATTCATAAAGATTAGCGAGTGAAATGAGGATGATACAAACTACGGCAATTTTCGATGACGGCATCGTAATTTTTTTCTTTAAAGAAACGTTTTATTGTTTTATGGTAGAAAACCTTACATGTAAAGTAATCATATATATATGTGTCTCCAACTATTTTTGTAGGGTGTTCCTAAAAAAGATGTACTTTAATTCGTTTGGCTAGTTTTATTTCCTTTAAATTCTAGAAATTGATGTTTAAGAGTTAATTACTCGTTTTCGAAGATCTCCAAATAATATATTTGAGAATTTCTAAGAATTAGAGATTTTTAGCCATTGGTTTAGATTTACGGTCGTTATAATTGGTTATGTAAATATTAGTATCATTTTGTTAAAAGAAGAGGTACATGTTCAAAATCCAAGCTTCATTCCAGAAAAAAAAAGACAGATGCAATAAGCAAGATTGCGCTCTCATAACCTAAAACTAATAACAAGAACTTTACACAAACAAGCAAATACATTAGCATAACATGAGAGTGTTTTAAATGCTTAAGTCGATTAGAAATAGTCTAACCATAACAAAACATATCATCCTTGAAGAACGTATTACAGGTTTTAAGAGTACCAGAATCATTATTAGAATCATACACCTAATTGTAATTCTTGTTGTAACCAAATCTTACAATCAATATAATTATGGGAGTCTCATCAATTATCCACAAAACATTATAGTACTAAGCTACGTAAGCTGGTTATGAGTTTTACTATTGTCATCTTTAGAACTCCAAGTTCCAGATCCTTGTTCTAGACAATTGGGTGTAAGAAAAAATGCAAACTTTGGAGTACAAGCAAATGTGCAATCTGTGGAACCCAAATGTCTTACTTTATTCGTTTGAACCCAGCCTGACCCGAACCGACCGTTTACTTTATCCAATCATGCATGGATGTCAGGGATTCAAAAGAAGGTGAAGAAAATTGTGTCTATGTCCATAACATCTAAGAGATATAACATTGATAGTTATATCTTACTAGACCTAGATAAAGTATTAAATGATGTCTACTACTCTTTTCGACCAGTTTATGCTGATTAAGAACATGAAGGAATTGGTGAAAAACCTCAATGCTATGGCTACATATATTTATGCTAATATTAGCTTTACTTGTATTCCGCTTTTTCTTATTAAGCGGAATACAAGTAAAGCTACGACTTCATTGTTGTTGATCTTGATCACGGGGCTGGCGGAATTCGAGAGGCACTCAATTGCATTCGCACTGTTGAGGTTATTAATAAACTAAATGTTCTCCTTCAAAAGTGTGTAATCTTTTGTGTGTTCTTATCAATACAAGTTTATTGGTGTGACTCCTTAGCCTTGTTTGATTACGTTCTAGTGTGTTTGTGAGACTCAAACATACTGGTTTGTGTGTTATTGTGTGATTCAACGACAAATCACCATTCCATCTCCATCATTGTCCCATCGATCCATCTCAAGCCGTAAGCCTTGAAACCCAGAAGCATAAATCTAAGATAACAGTTTTCTAAGTTCTTACCTTGTTTATTAACTTACTAATATTTACTGAGATAATAACTTTCAAACAGTGTAAACTATGGGTGTTCAATCCGGAGTAAGTATTCTAATCAAGTTATGTGAAACATTAATATTCTGCAAGTGTCAAATTTAATTTTGTTAGCTTAGATTTTAGGGTCGATCCAATGAAAACTAACTTGTCGCTGCTGCTTATGGAGCTTTAACATAGTCTTTTGGTGAAGAAAGCATTAAGCTTTGATAAAATAAAGTTTTAAAAGTTTTACTGATTTTATTTGATTAAGTATTAAACCTTGAAGTTTTGATTTCATCAATAATAATTAACTCACAAAATTTAACATCTGGTTAAGTAAGAATCATTTTAAAGGTGTTTCTTGCTCATCTAAATTAAAGTTATGGATATGCAAATTAGATCATTTACTGATTTATTAGAATATCAAAACAGAAGGTTCATCTCAAAAAAGACAAATGCAAGAATAAAGAATTCTTTTCATAAAACTTATAATAACAATTTTGCACCAAACAATCAAATACATTAGCATACAATAAGAATGTTTTAAATGCTTGAGCCGACTTGAATAGTCTAACCATAACAAAAACATATCATCCGTGAAGAGCGTAACACAATTCCTAAGAGTAGCAAATCAATGGTCCATTCCCACGATATCTCAAAAAGCAATAAGAAGCGAAACACACTCTATCTTAAGGTTTTTTTTTTTTTTTGACACAAGCCATAACAAAATTGATTATGAACAAAAGAATTTTAAAGAAGACTTCTCATTAATAATATATGATTATTAAAAACGAATAATGTTGACAAAAATAACATGAATAGCAAATAAACAAAAGAGAAAACGAGAAGAAAATTTGTAGTATTGTTCACACAAACTTTCAAAGTTACTAAAAAAACTAATGTAAACGTAATTGAGGTTAGTGAAGTCACATGAATATTCAAATTTGTGGTATATATATATGCTCTTCAAATTTCTTCAATCTTTAAAGGAGTGCTGGGTTAATTAGGGTGCAATACAGTCCCTCCAACAATCGGGGCCGGTTTTTGCTATCCTGTTCGGATTATTTGTGCAGACGAAATAATCTGACATTGGTTTGCATGGTGGTTTCCCTGTCCTCTCTCCTGTAACGGGATTTGTTAACGGCTTGTCATCTTTGAAAACTTTATCTAGAAAACCTAAAAAAAATAAACAATAAAATATTTAGAAATACTATATATGGAAGAAATGATTATGATTATAATCGTAATGATAAACAAAACCTAAACTATATATGACATACAATCATGAAGACTAGCGAGTGAAACGAGGATGATACAAAAGATAACAAGTTTGGATAACGGCATTGTGCTTTTTCTCTCCAAAGTAACCTTTTTGTTATTTGATGGTATAGAAGCTTACACATTAACATATATATAGAACTCTATTAGTACACATTTTTGTAGGGTGATCCCAAAAAAACTGTCTTTAAATTTGTTTGGCTACTTTTATCTCCTTTCTATTTTTGAATTATTGATGTTTAGGTCAATAATTGAATATTAGAGATTTGTAGCCATTTCTTTTAAATTTACAGTCGTTATAATTAAGTTATGTAAATATTGTTCTTTTTCATAAGAAGAGAGAACAAGTTTTCACATCTACTGTTAAATCGTTTTGCCTGTGTAAATATCTATCTTCACATATGTATTATTATAGAGGAAAAATGGAATGATTTACATTTCTATAAATTAATTTATATAAACTCATGCGTATATTATAAATTTAATAATGTAGGGTACTGCATTTTACTTTTATGAGTTTTATCCTGAACAATGAGGTAGTCGTACTTGCCTAGTTGGTGAGCTGAAACTGGACTAAAAAGGTCTACACTAATTCTGTCGTTGATTTTTTAAGTCAACCATGAGAACATTTTCTTTTGGTCCACGCACGGAAATTTCCAGCTGCCTGCTTTAATTACCCAATGATCTTTCATAACTTGGCTTGCTATTTTGGATCGGAAGTGATTGGTTTCTGCTTTTATACTATCATCATATAACCTTTGTGTGTTTTTTTCCCTAAACTCAAACGATGTTGTTTGAGTTTGTGTGCCACAAACAAAACGTACACAGATTCTGAACAACTTCATATTGTTTAACCATCTTCACGTCATCGCTATATATAGTAACGTTTTAGTTAGTATAATTATACGTCCGACCAACACTGTCTAAATTAAAATAGAATTTTATTAATAAGTGTATAGTTAATTGGTAATTGAATTTTTTGTCGGTTCGGTTTAAAAAATGTATTATATTATATCATAATTTTGGTATAATAGTACTGCGTTATGTGTTTTGTTCAGATTGATTGTGGTTGTTTCCCGATCATAGTGGATATATATCAGATTTGCTTGGGTAGCTCCAAATTTAATTTTGGCTTTGCCTTTATTGAATATGTGGTTTCGTGTGACATGTCTCTTTTCTTTTAATTTGTACTTCAAATATGTATATATGGAATCAAACTACAGGACATCCAACGAAATTATTTTCCATTCACACATTACATTTTTTATTTGTTTCTCTTTTTTCTTTGCTCACTTTGTTATTTCCTATTTGGTTTTGAGTTCATAAAAGAAGGAAGTTAGGCATGTATTTTTTAAACATTTGACGTAAAAAATAACTTTTCTCTGGAAAATAATAATATTATCTTTTATCTTATTTAAGTATCATTTCGAAAATATTTTAAAATATCTTTTTTAGATTTAATATAAATTCTTTTAAAAAGACATAATTTTCTCTGAACAAAAGTTAAATAAAACAATGCAACATAGTAACAGTGAACGGCGGCTCCAAAGTGATTTTCAATATACTTTTTTTTTTGCCATCAAGTAAATTTCTCAATAGATAGAACTAAAAGGTTACAAACTGGACAACTAAACTTTTATCAACTAAAACTTTTTCTTTTTGGTATCATTATTAAAGAGTAATACCACTTTACTCTTAGGGATCATATAGAAAGCAAAAAACTTAAAGTTTGGTGAAAGAGCTTACGAAACATCCTACAAATGATATTCTATCTTTTTATTTTTTTTTGTAAACCACAAATGATATTCTATTATAAATAATAAATTCTCCCTGAATAAGTCACATTGGGGGAATTTTACCTTTTCAATAAAACGCTAAACGACACAAATCAAAATAAAATAAAAAAGGAAGATGCCACGTAACAACCACCTCCACTACTCTTTCTTCGTAATGAAGAAATCTGCCCATGCCTGAGTTTCATCTTCACCGGATCGCCACCGAAGGCACTCATTCAAACCTTAGTCCTCTTTAGATAGCCACTGAAAATACCACGTGTGATTCCAACGACCAAAATACCAAAGTCCATAAATAAGTATACTATAAAGAAAAACATTTATTTACTTCCACCCATCGGTCGATAATTCGATATATACCCAAAAACGCAAATGACCAAACTACCCAACAACCATCCCTATATGTATAACACACAGCCTCTTCTTTCTCACCCACAAACAACAAAACATGGCTTCCACAAAAATTTCCTTAGTCCTTTTCCTTTGCCTCTTAGGTCCTTGTATAGGTGTTGGAACAAGCGCTGGTGGATCAGTCAGTAGCATTGTAACACAAGGTTTCTTTAACAACATTATCAACCAAGCCGGTAATGGCTGCACGAGAAAAAGATTATACACCCGCGACTCTTTCATTGACGCTGCTAATAGTTTTCCCAACTTTGTTAGTTCCGTTACTAGACGTGAAATTGCTACCATGTTTGCTCATGTCACTCACGAGACCGGCCGTAAGATTTTTTTTTCTTTTCTTTTTTTCTCTACGTTTCTAATATATTATATATATATTTTTTAATATTTTTGTTTGTACATCTACTCCGATTTAATTACTTTTAGTTAACTCCAAATAAATGAGTAAATTATTCTCAACTAAATTATAAGGGTTCAGATGTTTCATTATTTCAGATTATAACTGCACGTTAAGATTAAACCTCTAAAAACTAAACATTTGTCTTGATCTCAATTAATTGAGCTGATTAAAAATCACTTTTTTCTTCATGTGATCTCTATGTCGTATAGACTTCTGCAACATAGAAGAAATAAAGAAAAGGTCACGTGGCAGGTGCGACGAGAACGTAGAGCAAAGACCATGTCCATCGCCGAGAAAAGGTCACTCCGGTCGTGGTCAGAGCCTCGGTCTCGACCTTCTAAGCCAGCCTGAGCTTGTGGGTAGCAACCCAACTGTAGCTTTCACGAAGGGTTTGTCGTTTTGGATTAATAGCGTAAGGCCGGTACTGAACCAAGGATTTGGAGCCACTATAAGAGCCATCAATGGGATGGAATGTAACGGTGGGAATTCAGGTGCGGTCAACGCAAGGATTGGGTACTATAGAGACTATTGTAGACAGCTTGGTGTGGATCCTGGTCCTAACCTTAGGGCCTGACTGGTTTAAACGCAGCGGTTGCGGTTGCGGTTGCGGGAGTTTGCGGAAGCGGGCGGTTGCGGTTTCAAGCGTTACCAAGCGTTTTGAACGACTGGTTTAGCGTTTGAAAATGGATGCGTTTGCGGGAGTTTTATGACTGGTAAACCAGCGGGTGCGGTAGCAGTTAAATAAAAAAATAACCAAAATAAATAAGAAATATTAATAAACAAGAAAGCACAAATTCCATAAGAATATCAAGTCAACAAAACCAAAGCTAATCATCCAAAAAATCATTACGAGACTCCTTGGTTTGTCGCTTCAGAAAAGGTAGCTTCTCATCATCTAGGAGAGCAAGAAATAAACCGCGTACAACATCATTTGTAGCAATAAGGTCAAGAGATGCCCAATAAAGCTCCGTCATTGGAACTAGATCAGGTACTGCCCTCACATATTTGACAACAAGAGCCATTCGTTCTTCAGTGTTATCAATTCTAACAAGAAACGAGTCATCTCATTGGACCAAGTGAGTTTCTATTTGAGAAAAGAAATCGAAACATATATTCAATCAAAAAGCAAAACAATACATAATGAAAAGAAAAAAACGATGCCATGAAAAATATTCAAAGATTTACACATGAGGTGATGAATGAATAAAATGTTATATGATACTTACGTTTGTTTCTGGATTTTCAGCAGTTTGGGTGGAAGACATAATTGAGAGAATAGGGTTTCAGAATATTGATTATGGTTATTTGATGAGAACGTGAAACAAAGATGAAAGATATATATATGATTAATATATTATAATAATTATAAGTAAACGTTTTTTTTTTTTTTTTTTTTTTTTTTTTTTTTTTTTTTTTTTTATCCAACCGCTACCGCCCGCAACCGCAAACGCTTGCGGGAAGGAGCTTTTGAAATCCAGCGATTTGGAGCGGTTCGAAGCGGTATGGAGCGGTTTCTATGATTGGTACCAACCGCTAACAACCGCAACCGACCGCTAGCAACCGCTATGAGGGTGCTAGCGGGAGAACCAATCAAGCCTTTAGTTGCTAAAAAGTTCTTCAAACGCAAACTCGCATACACGTGACGTGTCACGTGATAATGCGGAATAAGAAGTTAGATATATAATAAAGTTAAATTTCATACGTATGTCCGGCAGAAATCAAACCGGACAAAGATTCAAATCGCAAGTACATGGATTAACGTTCTGTAACTGTTATTGTATCAATTTGTTAATAAGAGGAGAATTGGTCTTACTTATGTCTAGCTAGTAACCATCTATGTTTGTAGGAGCTAGTCTCCACTCTTTGGTTTTGCTTCTTCTTGTTTGTCTATTTAAACCAATGAAAAAGCCAATCATACATAATCAAACGAAAATATTCACAAACTTCAAGATAGATGTTGCACAATTCATCATTTCGAATTTCGACCAAAGAAAAGTAAAAAGACCTGATCGGCTCGCCAATCACGCTACCATGGCTCACATGCACTCCATCCGCCGTTAGCATCTCCTTCCGAGCAGATCTTGTTGTCGTTCTCGTTTCCCTTCATTAATAGAGGACTTAATTCCTCATGGTCTTCGCGGCTATCTTCTCCCACCATAGTTTAAATACATTCTCATGGTAGGCTAATGTATTTGATTGTTGGTCTTCCTTATGTATAGTAACGTTTTGACACCTCCTCCAATCTTCTTCTCGGGCTGGGGATGACCATTTTTGATCAAATCTAGTAGCACTCTGCTCAAACAACTTATAACAAGAAATTTGCACAAACAATGAAATACGTTAGCCTACCATGAGATTATTTCAAATGCTTAAAAACCGATTTGAATAGTCATCTAACCATAACAAAAACATATTATCTTTGAAGAATGTAGTCACACATCTCCTAGAAGTATCAATGGTTCATTCCCACGGTATTTCAATTCCTCTAAACCAGTACTAGAACCATATGAATCAAATCATATAATCAAGTATCCACAAAACATCATAATACTAAGCTACATATATACTCTGATTTGTCAGAGTTACTATTGTCATCTTCATGACTGTATTCGAGACAATTGGTAGATGCAAACTGTAGAACCCAAAATGTCTACTTTGTTGAAAAGCAACCTTGATTTTACGTGGTTTTGATGTTTTTTAAAAAACCGAACCGGTTATCTCAATCATGCAAACATTAGAAGGAGCTTTCATTTAATTTCCGAATTTTATTAACAAAGAGGAAAAATGTCAAGAGTCAAACTAATTAGGAACGTCTAGAATTTTCAATTGGTCCATTTTGCCTACTCTAGAAAAAGGAAGCAAATAATGTATTTTATATGTCCACATAAATTCTTTTTCAACCAAACTTTAATAATTACTATATGGACCAATTCATTAATTAATTCCTGTATCTGATTTAGGTGAAAAAATCTTTATTAACATTTAAAATCGAAACCAAAAAAACTCTGTATCAAAATTTTCCACCCACTGACTTCCGTTAAAATCAACAAGAAGAAGAACAAGCGGCTTTCTCAACTAGCCGTTTAACAGACGTTATCTTACCAAACTCCAAAGCTCTGGTTCGTACAAACCCGAACCTCTTTCACTGCTTATACACGTATGTATGTATTAATTTCTTTTAGATATTTTATAAAAACGCGCTCCTAAAAATATTAATACAATTGAAATATTGTTTATCTGATTATTCAGACCAAACACGGAGAAACAAAAATAAACACAAAACTTCAAGAGTTTCGTTTTAGCTTAAAGGTTCCAGATTTCGAAAGAGCTCTCTTTTTTTTTTTTTTTTTCCTTCGTGTTCCAGAATTATTTCTAGGTAATCTTTGATTTCTTTCGATTAGAATGATTCAATTTTGATTTTCATTTGTAGAAAATATTAGGGTTTGATTCTGGAGATCGAATCGTATCTTCTTTGTTTGTTTATTGAATTTGGGGCTTCTTCTATTAGGGTTTGTTTGGTTCCTGTGAAATTATCAAATGTTCCTGCATTTAAGGAATTGTTTTGATTTTTGGATTTTTTTTTTATGTTACAGATATATCATTTGGTGCTAAGTTTAAAGATGGCTGATCATTTGAGTTTATGTACCGATCGTCTCATAACATCTGAGAGCTTGAACTCAGAGAAAGATTCTGAGTCTTCAGATTCTTCTGGAGAAAGTTCTTACCGGCCTCAAGGCACAGACTTGGCTTCTTCATCTGTGAATGAAGCTGAGGAACCTAGAGAGTATTACGCGGTTGCGGAAGAGGAAGAACCACTTCTTCAATCTGTGGAGTGTCGTATTTGCCAGGAGGAAGATACTACTAAGAACCTTGAGGCTCCTTGTGCTTGTAATGGCAGTTTGAAGGTAAAATTATTGAGTCTACAACAAAAATATGCCATTGGCTCTTATTGTTGTTTGTTTTGATGGTATTGGTTTGGAACTTGGAAGTTTCTTACGAGTTTTGATTTACGCAGTATGCTCACCGCAAGTGTGTTCAGCGTTGGTGTAACGAGAAAGGCGATATAACCTGTGAAATATGTCACCAGGTAAATCATCAGTCTCTCATACTCTGCTGCTAAATGTTGTATCTTTATCTAAGTTCATAGCATTTAGGATGCCACAAAATGCAAATTAGATTTAACTTTTGGATGATGAAATGAATCAACAATAATCCATTTTTTTTTTTTCAGTTTTGTAATATTGTTGTAGTTACATTTCCTGAATTTAATTTCTTGATTGTTTCTTTTTTACTTCTTGGGATTTTTCTATGTTAGTTTTGAATAGTTCATCTTGTTATCGCTGCTCAAGTGCTTAGTTATCTAACTGCTATTGACACTAAGAGAATACCAGTTACAACTTCTAAAAAGTTCTTTTTTTTAACAGCCTTATCAACCTGGATATACAGCACCTCCGCCTCCTCCTCCTGATGAAACTATAATTCATATCGGGTAAGTTTTCCGAATCTATGTTTCTGTCCGCTTTACTAAATTGAAGAGAAAATTGATATTGGAGTTCCTCATCCATTTTCTGAAGTCTAATATACATTCAATTATATCTTACTTTGGCATGGTATGATTCTGGTAGGGTCTAGAGAATTCAAGATGTACCCTCCTCTGTACTAGATTTGCCGTCCCTGATAGATATTGATAACTAACATTATCTATGCATTTGAGATTCAGAATTTTGGTTTATTTTGGTAACATCTTGAGAAAGATATAATTTTGAAATGTCTTCATATTCATATAGATTTCCTTGTTACCATTATTGCTTTCTTAATCTTTGCATTTGTTAGGTATTTATCTCTTTTATTCTGTAGCCCCATTGTACTTGACTTGTTTCTGTTATTGAAAACGCGTTGTGCAGTGACGATTGGGAGAACGGAGTTCCCTTGGACTTGAGCGATCCACGCATTCTGGCAATGGCTGCAGCAGAACGTCATTTCTTGGAAGCTGACTATGACGAGTATTCTGAGTCTAACTCAAGCGGAGCTGCCTTTTGTCGCTCTGCTGCTCTCATCGTAAGCTTGCAGTTCTCATCCGTATACAAAGTTTCTTTATATCTTGTTGCGAATATGATTTTTTACCATGTGATTTGGATGTTTTCTTTCGTTTTGATAATCTTCAACTGTAAGTACTAATACTTGCATTGTACTTCTGTAATGGCAGCTAATGGCACTTTTGCTGTTACGGGATGCGCTAAATCTCACAACAAACTCAGATGACGAGGACGATCCAACTGCCTTCTTCTCGGTATGAACATCTTTACTTACTTTCCCGATTTCTTCGTATCGTGTCTGAATACACTTTCTGTGTGTTTCTTGATAATGTCCGATTTGACTCTTTTTTCTTTTTCTGCTCTCTCTGGTTCCAACAGCTTTTCCTTCTTCGCGCTGCTGGTTTTCTCCTCCCATGTTACATCATGGCATGGGCCATCGGTATACTACAACGTCGGAGACAAAGACAGGTGCATACTTCAAAAACTCTCTGTATCAAACTCTGTTAAATTGTAAAATACTCAATCTAACAGACAATACAATGTACCAGGAAGCAGCGGCTCTAGCTGCCGCAGAAGTTGCTTTCATGATACACGGTGGTGGGCCTCAACGCAGAGGACTGCACTTTGCTGTAGCACCGCAGCCGCCGATATCCAATGTCCCAACACCAGTCCCAACACCAGTCTGATCCTTCCCGGCAATGATTCTCCGGTAAGGCTTTTAGACAAAACCTTGAACTTGGTTGTAAGAACTTCATCTACTTATGCTTCTTCACATGTTATTATCTTCCTCGTATGTTTGTGTTCTCTCAATCTGTTAAATGTTTACTTCGGCTCTCAAATATTTACAAAGAGCTCTCACGGCACTATGTACAGTCTTATTATTATCATGACTATAAAGATTATATTTTTATCACATTTTATTTACTTTTTATAAATTTATTTGGTCAACCAAAAATAAATATAAATGTCCAATGCAATTTGAAGTAAATTTTGTAGCGTGTAGTAAATGTACTATGTCTTATCTAAAGAAAAGACTAGTTGTTCTTCACAATGACGGTCTTTATGAACTCCATAACTGTTGCAACCAGTTGACTTTGATATTTGGTATAACAATGATCAGCTCCTTCTACAATCTTCAGCTCGTGGTTTGGTATGATCTTTGCAAACTCCTTTGCATCTTCCACGGGTACTGTCTCGTCAGCCGATCCATGAACCGTCAAGACCCTGCCATTACATCAATCCGGGATTGTTTATATTGTATCTCAAACAACCGATATGAGATAGTGAACTTAATGAATCTCACCTGCATTCTTTGTCAATCTTGAGGCAAGCTTCATGCATATCTGTGTTTAACCGGTCCATCAAGCTTTCCTTGGTAACACGGTACCCAGAATCTCCTGTAACAAACCAGTACATTGATAGAAACATGAGAGTTCTGATTGAGACAGTGCATGAAAACCAAAGAGCTATAACAATACCATCTTTAACATCGATATATCCTTGTTTCTTAATTCTTTCCAAAAAATCTTCACCAAGACGTTCTCCTATGCCTTTCTTCAGATCATAACGTCCCGAGAGATTGATTACATTGGGGATATCGTGATACTTAGATGCATAGAGGAGGACCACATCACCTCCTATGCAATGTCAAAATATAAGTTGAGTTTCTTGCAATGTAAGATTCACCCCTTTTGAGAATCCGTTGCTCCGAGGCAGAAAGATATATCGAACGGCTACTTACCTTTACTGTGGCCAAGAATTATAGTAACCACACGGTTCAAGTTAGAGAAGTATTGGATAACAGAATGTAGATCGTCAGCTTCATAATTGTAGTTACCATAATAGAAACTGCCCTCACTCTCTCTGCAACAGTGAAAGCACCATAACCCCAAAATAAAAACAAATACCAAATTCTTCAAATCAATGATAATGCAAGGAAGAGAAACATACCCATTCCCGGAGAAATCGAAACGGAAAGCGCTAATCCCTTCTTTCTCTATAGCAACAGCCACATTTTTCATAATTATGAAGTTCTGCATACACTCATAGCTTCTTTGGTAAGATATAAGATTGAGAAATGAACATTCAAGTAAGTGAGAAGAAAGCAGAACCGAATCTAACCTTGTTTGATCGAAAGCCATGACATAAAACCACAATTTCTATAGAACCAGTTTCATGAAGCAGACCCACCAGCTTCTCATTGTGGCTGTTCGGAATCACAATCTTCTGCTGTATACTTCCCTGCGATGAATCCATTCTCAACTTGTTTGCTTTGTTCCAGGAAACTTATTATTCTTAAATGGTAAGGCAAGCGTTGAGGAAGATAATGTGGGACAAGGAGAAATTTTTGTAAAAGATCTATCATTGAGCATATTTTGGAATTTATCTATTTAATTTCTAATTTTTTTTTTTTTTTGTCATCCGAAATTAATTAAAATTCAAAAGAGTCATTCCTGAGGAATGTTGTTTACATATTTGATATGTGAATGTTGTTTAATTTCTATTTAATTTCTAATTTATTTTCAGTATAGATACAATTTTTGACCAATTCAATGAAGATATATATGATCTACATTACTACATAGAAATCTTATTTTCTCTATTTTTTTTCTCGGGTGATTATAAAAATAAGAAGAAATTCTAACATCAAAAATATTAAAAACAACAACATGGACATGTTTGGTTGTTTCTCAAAGTTATTTTCTAAATATGTAAAGAAATGTACACCCACAAGTTGGATCAAATGAGCCTACCATGTAAATGGGATCAAAAGTGTTTTGATGAGGGTCACAACTTTTAAAACTTGATTAAAAAATAGTGTAAAAGTGCTTTAAAAACGTATAAAATTTCTAAATTTTTAACAAATTTTAGTAAAACTATATGAATAATTGGTCAATTTCTACATAATTCCCTGTTACATTTTATTATATGGCAAGTACTTTATCTGCTAGTTGCTACAAAATATTTAAAGAATGTCATTTTTGTACCTTTTTCTAGAAACCAAATCGAAATCTAAAGACAGAAAAAGGGATTGATAGAAAAGTCATAAAGATTCGTAAATGTCTTTGTTTCTTTTTTGTATATTTCGCTCGCCCATAGAATGTCTTTGTTGACTACATTACTTAGATTTTCGAAAAGTGTGCCTTATTCTTTTTTTTTTTTTCTTCAAGTTGCATTATCACCATTCGCCACAATAGTTAAAAGGCATTTTGCAATTGCTTCGTCTCTTATATGTTCACTTTCCTGCAAATACATGAGAAGCACTAAAAAAAAAAAATGAGAAGCATGGGACTGACTCTTTTACTTACTTTCACTACTCTCATGCTACTTAAAACACATGGTTTTACCGATGAAACTGATAGGCAAGCATTGCTCGAATTCAAGTCTCAAGTTTCTAAAGACAAAAGAGTTGTCTTGTCTTCATGGAATCATTCATTCCCACTCTGCAACTGGAAGGGCGTTACATGCAGCCGTAAAAACAAAAGAGTTTCCCATCTCGAACTCGGAAGATTGCATTTAGGCGGAGTGATATCACCATCTATCGGTAATCTATCGTTTCTTGTATCACTTGATCTCTATGAAAACTTTTTTAGTGGTACTATTCCTCAAGAAGTGGGAAAGTTGTTTAGACTTGAATACTTGGATATGGGTATAAATTTTCTGAGAGGACCGATTCCAATAGGTCTATACAATTGCTCTAGATTATTGAACCTTCGTTTAGATTCAAATCATCTTGGGGGAGGTGTTCCTTCAGAGCTAGGGTCATTGAAGAAGCTTGTTCAGTTAAATCTTTATGGAAACAATATGAGAGGAAAGATCCCTGCATCACTAGGAAACTTGACATCACTACAACAACTTGCATTATCACATAACAATCTTGACGGAGAAATCCCGAGTGATGTAGCTAAATTGACTCAAATATGGAGTCTTCAATTAGTGGCAAACAAATTCTCAGGTGCTTTTCCTCCTGCTATCTACAACTTGTCCTCAGTTAAGCTTTTAGGTATAGGTTATAATCATTTCTCGGGTCGCCTGAGACCTGATTTTGGTATTCTGCTACCAAATCTTCTATCGTTTAATATGGGAGGGAATTATTTCACAGGATCTATTCCAACAACACTTTCTAATATCTCTACTCTTGAAAGATTGGGAATGAATGAGAACAATCTCACAGGAAGTATTCCTATTTTTGGAAATGTTCCAAATTTGCAATTGTTACTTCTTCATACCAATTCTCTAGGAAGTGATTCTTCTAGAGATTTTGAATTCCTCAGTTCTTTGACAAACTGCACCCAACTAGAGACCTTAGGGATTGGTCAAAATAGGCTTGGGGGTGACTTGCCTATTTCCATTGCCAATCTATCCGCGAAACTCACAACTTTAGACCTTGGAGGAACCCTCATTTCCGGAAGCATTCCTCATGACATTGGGAATCTCATAAACCTACAAAAGCTTATATTGGATCAAAATATGTTGATTGGACCACTCCCAACCTCTCTTGGAAAGCTTTTAAATTTGAGATATTTAAGTCTATTTTCAAATAGATTATCAGGAGAGATACCAACTTTTATAGGCAACTTCACTATGTTAGAAACACTTGATTTGTCCAACAATAGTTTTGAAGGTATTGTTCCTGCAACTCTCGGGAACTGTAGTCACCTACTAGAATTGTGGATTGGGGATAATAAGTTGAATGGGACTATACCTCTGGAAATTATGAAAATTCAGAGTCTTCTTCACCTAGACATGTCAAGAAATTCTTTATTCGGCTCTCTGCCACAAGATATTGGGCTGCTACAAAATCTTGGTACACTATCAGTGGGGAATAATAAATTATCAGGGAAACTTCCACAAACCTTGGGAAACTGTCTCACAATGGAAAATCTTTATCTGCAAGGAAATTCGTTTTATGGAGATATTCCGGATTTAAAAGGGTTGGTGGGTGTTAAAGAAGTTGATTTGTCGAACAATAATCTCTCTGGAAGTATACCTGAATATCTTGCAAACTTTTCCAAGTTGGAGTATCTCAATCTATCTTTTAACAATTTTGAGGGAAAGGTGCCAATGAAAGGAATATTTCTTAATACTACTACAGTTTCTGTATTTGGAAACAATGATCTATGTGGAGGCATTAGGGGATTTCAACTAAAGCCATGCCTTGCGCAAGCACCACAAGTGGAGAAGAAGCATTCCTCTCTTTTAAAGAAAGTTGTGATTGGAGTTAGTGTAGGCATAACTTTGCTTTTGTTGCTGTTTATAGCTTCAGTTGCTTTGATTTGGTTAAGAAAGAGAAAGAAGAAGAAGCAGAACAATAATCCAACTCCTTCTACTTTGGAAGTCTTCCATGAGAAGATAAGTTATGGAGATCTTCGTAATGCAACAAATGGCTTCTCTTCGAGTAATATGGTCGGGTCTGGCAGTTTTGGGACTGTATTTAGGGCATTTCTTCCGACGGAGAAAAAGGTTGTTGCAGTGAAAGTTTTAAACCTACAGAGACGTGGAGCGATGAAGAGCTTTATGGCAGAATGTGAATCCTTGAAGGATATAAGGCATCGTAATCTTGTGAAACTATTGACAGCTTGCGCTAGTATTGATTTCCAAGGAAATGAATTCAGAGCTCTCATATACGAGTTCATGCCGAATGGAAGCTTGGATATGTGGCTGCACCCAGAGGAAGTGGAAGAGATTCATAGGCCCTCAAGAACCTTGACACTTCTTGAAAGGATCAACATCGCCATAGACGTGGCTTCTGTTTTAGACTATCTTCATGTTCATTCTCATGACCCTATAGCTCATTGTGATCTTAAGCCAAGTAATGTTCTTTTAGACGATGATCTAACTGCCCATGTTAGCGACTTTGGTCTGGCTCGTCTTCTCCTCAAATTCGACCAGGAGTCATTCTTCAATCAACTAAGCTCAGCTGGCATTAGAGGAACCATCGGATATGCCGCACCAGGTAAAAAAAATCACACATATGTAATATTCTATGAAGAAAATTAGTAAATTCTTGTTTGCATTACAATCTTGTTTTCGTTGTTTCTATGAATTATGGTACAGAATATGGAACGGGAGGTCAGCCATCAATACATGGTGATGTGTATAGCTTTGGGGTTCTCGTTTTGGAAATGTTCACTGGAAAACGACCAACCAATGAGTTATTTGGCGGAAACTTTACCCTACACAGCTACACCAAGTCAGCTTTGCCGGAAAGAGTATTGGACATTGCAGACGAATCGATTCTTCGAAGTGGTCTAAGAGCCGATTTCCGTATTGCTGAGTGCCTGACACTGGTGTTGGAGGTGGGACTTAGGTGCTGTGAAGAATCGCCTACGAACCGGTTGGCAACGAGTGAAATTGCAAAAGAGTTGATCTCAATCAGAGAGAGGTTCTTTAAAACCAGAAGAACATTATCAGATTATGTATATTGGTTTAGTAGGTTTACTTAGTTGGTTTAACTTAACCGATTGTATAGCTGTATAGTTGTATACTATAAATACACTTGTACTGTAATCATTAATCAATAATGAGAAAATCATTTACAAATATCTGTAACAAACTTTTCTCTTCTTCTTCATCGTAATATGGTATCAGAGCCATAAAAGCTCAAAACTCCATTGATTTCGACTTGATTTCTTCGTTCCGAGCTCAGATTCTTCTTCTCCGTTGTCTAATCTCTAGATCCAATGGTGACTGTAGCTCGTGCTCAACGAAAATCCACTCGCTCGAAGTCTGGTACAAGTTCTGCTACTCGGAAGCCGTCGCGATCCACCGGCGTTGTTGATTCACCTCCGAATTCTCCTCCAGTTACTAGATCTAATGTTTTTGGAGCTTCGCGAGCTCAAACAACATCGGAATCTCCAGATCCGACTCAATCTCCTTTCTTCATGCATAGTGCCGATCATCCAGGTTTAAATATCATCTCTCATCGCTTAGATGAAACGAACTATGGTGATTGGAGTGTTGCTATGCTTATCTCTCTAGATGCTAAGAACAAAACTGGATTCATAGTTGGAACTCTCACTCGTCCTTTAGAAACGGATTTGAATTTTCGTCTGTGGTCTAGATGTAATAGCATGGTCAAATCCTGGATGCTTAATTCTGTTTCTCCTCAGATTTATCGAAGTATTCTTCGTATGAATGATGCTTCGGATATATGGCGTGATCTTCACAGTCGTTTCAATCTGACTAATCTTCCACGCACATATAATCTTACTCAAGAGATTCAGGATTTGCGTCAAGGTACATTGTCTCTGTCTGAGTACTACACTCGTCTCAAGACATTATGGGATCAATTGGATAGTACAGAGGCATTGGATGAGCCCTGTACATGTGGTAAAGCTACTCGTCTGCAACAGAAGGCAGAGAGAGCTAAGATTGTCAAGTTCTTGGCTGGTTTGAATGAGTCTTATGCGATTGTTCGTAGACAGATCATAGCTAAGAAAGTTCTCCCTAGCTTGGCAGAGGTGTATAATATTTTGGATCAAGACAATAGTCAACAAGGATTCTCTAATGTTGTTGCTCCACCTACTGTTTTCCAAGTGTCTGAGACTGTTATTTCCCATGTTCAAAAAATCGCTAGGCGCTAGTCGGGCGGTGAGGGTGCGCCTAGCGCCTAGCAAGAAAATCGGAGATTACACGGGGATTAATCGGGATTAGTTTTTAATCAATATTTTATATATATTTTTAAATATTTCTAGTACAATTTAAATACTAAAATATTTTAAAACTTTTATCAATAATTTTGCAAAATTACTTTATATAAAAATGACATTCATCCTAAATAGGTATTCAAAATACAATTTAAAGTTCCAACATGTTATAAAAAAAATAGTATGGTCTTGATCTAGAGACACAAAAAATAGTGAAAGGTCACAAAAAAGTGAAGACTACTACTTCTCCCTCGTTTGATTTCTTCAATGATCAAGTAATTAGCATATGTTGGACTTCTTGTTTAGTTAGGACTTTTTGATTATCTGCAAATGATCAAACATTTGAATCAAACGAAGGATGATAGAAGCATCAAGAAAGATTCAAACTGTCACAGGAAAAAAAAACAAGTAATCGAACAACAACAAAAACGAACCTTAGTAATCCATTGGTGTGTCACAAAACTCAGGAGTTTCATGGAACACATCAGGTTCAAATTCCATGTCAAGCATTACTTCATCTTCTTCCTCAGATTCAAAATCATCATCATAAAGCTCTCTTACCTTTGGAGATTGGGTAGTAGGTACGACACCAACATTAGTAGCTTGGTCTTCTTGATGTTGCTCCACAATCCAATCTTCGACAGTTTCTTCATTACCATCATCTATAATCACATCTATTGCTTTCTCTTTAATTTTTTTGTGCTTGTTAAAAAGTCTTGCATTGAATTGGACGTAAACAAGGCTGTTTAGACGATTGACATCTAATCTATTCCTTTTCTTAGTGTGGATCTGCAATTTAAGAAGAGATATTAGAACATGGGCTGAAACATAAATAGCTATACAAAAACAGAGATTAAAATGTTGAATTAATCACTAAGAACAAAGATTTAAAGACTAACCACTTCAAAACTGCTCCAATTTCTTTCACAACCAGAAGAGCTAGAGGTCAACATGGACTAACCGCTTCACATCCATTCTAACATGTAAAAAATCAAAATCGGGCTAAGGGTTTCGACATCAAAACCAGTACACAAAAACATCTTAAATGGCTAGACAAATACATCCTAATCGACTAGAAAAAGACATCAAAAACAGTGGACAAAGACATCCTAATCAGCAAAGACAGAGACATCAAAGACAGTGTGTTCAAAAATACTTGTGTTCTAAAAATCAAATCAACGATATATATAGTTATCTAAAGCAAAATTCTCTTTAGAAACAGTGAAACAGACAAATTCTAAGCAAACCCACCACACAAGCGTTCTTCACATTCCTAATTGGTAAACAAAGTATAAAATCTAAAAAGAAGAACGAAGACGCACCACAGAGAAAGTTGCAGAATTGTGTAGTGCCGATGTTGAGATTTTAGAGATAAGAGTGGCTCGAAATCAAATCAAATTTTGTTAGGGTTAGAACTAATTTTTGAGAGACGAGATTATGGGATGTGAGCAAAGTTCATTAGGTTTCTTCCATTCTTTTAAGAAAAAAACTTGTTTAGGTTTCGTTAATTTTGTTTGGTTTCACTGTAATGCACGAGTGGAGAGAAGAAGAAAACGTGGATGTGGGTTTCATTAAACCACAATTCCAAATCCAGAAAAATAAATGGGTTTAATTAATTTTGAGGCCCAATTCGAATTAAAGCCCAAATTTTTAAATTATTAAATCGGCGATTTTCCAAAAAATCGGGTTTACGCGGGGTGTAATCAGTAAACCGATTTCTTAAACCGATTATGCATTAAACCCATCGGTACAGCACCGCCTAGCGCCTAGGCGCCGATTAATCGGCCGCCTAGCCCGATTTTTAGAACAAGGGTTATTTCTAATAGCATGGATCCTACTATCTGTTATGTTCAAAGTGGTCCTAATAAGGGAAGACCAATTTGTTCATTCTGTAATAGGGTGGGACATATTGCTGAAAGGTGCTACAAGAAGCATGGTTTTCCTCCAGGTTTCACACCTAAAGGAAAGGTTGGTGATAAATTTCAGAAACCAAAACCTCTGGCTGCTAATGTTGCTTTGACAACTACAGAGTCTACTGATACTCAATCTAGTCTGGAGAACATGGTGAGCAACATGAATAAAGATCAAATTCAGCAATTCATTGCAATGTTCAGTTCTCAACTACAGGCTTCTCCTAGTAACTCTGCAGTTGCTAGTTCTTCTCAGTCAGAAAATCTTGGTATTTCTTTTTCACCCTCTACATATTCTTTTATTGGAATATTGACTGTTGCTCGTCATACTCTTGATTCAAAGACATGGGTGATAGACTCTGGAGCTACACACCATGTTTCTCATGATAGAAGTTTATTTTCAACTTTGGATACTTCTGTAATGAGTTCAGTGAATTTACCAGCTGGTCCCACTGTGAAGATCAGTGGTGTTGGTACTTTGAGACTTAACAGTCACATTCTTCTCCAAAATGTGTTGTTTATTCCGGAGTTTAGATTAAACCTCATCAATATCAGTTCTCTTACTGATGATGTTGGTTCTCGAGTGATTTTTGATAAACATACTTGTGAAATTCAGGATCATATCAAGGCCCGGATGCTTGGTCAAGGTAGAAGAGTTGCGAATCTCTATGTGTTGGATATTGAAGAACCTATCTCAGTGAATGCGGTTGTGGACATTGGTATGTGGCATAGAAGACTTGGTCATGCTTCTTTGCAAAGATTGGATACCATTTCAGATTCACTGGGAACTACTAGACACAAGAATAAAGGATCAGATTATTGTCATGTTTGTCATTTAGCAAAACAGAGAAAGTTGTCTTTTCCCTCTCAGAATAAAGTTTGTAATGAGATATTTGATATGTTACACATTGACATTTGGGGTCCTTTCTCAGTTGAAACAGTGGATGGTTTTAAATACTTCTTGACAATAGTAGATGATCATTCAAGAGCAACATGGATTTTTCTACTTAGGAATAAGTCTGAGGTGCTTACAGTTTTTCCTGGTTTTATTGAACAAGTGGAGAATCAATACAAAGTAAAGGTTAAGGCTGTAAGATCTGATAATGCACCAGAGTTGAGATTTGCAAGTTTATATCAACAGAAAGGTATTGCTTCATTCCATTCATGTTCAGAAACTCCAGAGCAGAATTCAGTAGTAGAAAGAAAGCATCAACACATTCTGAATGTGTCTAGAGCTCTCATGTTTCAATCTCAGGTACCACTTTCTCTATGGGGTGACTGTGTTCTGACGGCTGTTTTCCTCATCAATAGGACGCCATCACAGTTGCTTTCTAATAAGACTCCCTATGAGATCCTCACTGGTACTGTTCCTAATTATGAGCAGCTTCGTACTTTTGGATGTTTGTGTTACAGTTCTACTTCTCCGAAACATAGACATAAGTTTCAACCAAGATCAAGAGCTTGTCTGTTTCTCGGGTATCCTGCTGGTTATAAAGGCTACAAGTTAATGGATTTAGAGAGCAATACAGTGTTTATCTCCAGGAATGTGATTTTTCATGAAGAAGTTTTTCCCTTGGCTAAGAATCCACATTCACAGAGTCCTTTGGAGTTGTTTACACCACTGGTTCCTGTGTCCTCAGGTGATAATCATCATTCTCTCTCTTCTCTTCCATCACAAATTTCTGATCTACCACCACAAATTTCTTCTCAGAGAGTAAGGAAACCACCTGCTCATCTGAATGATTATGACTGCAACAATATACAGTCTAATCTTAAATATCCTATTTCATCTACTCTTTCTTATTCTAAAATTTCTCCATCTCATATGTGTTATATCAATAATATCACAAAAATTCCTATTCCCACCACTTATGCTGAGGCACAGGACACCAAGGAATGGTGTGAGGCAGTCGATGCTGAGATTGGTGCTATGGAGTCTACTAACACTTGGGAGATTACAACATTACCACCAGGGAAGAAAGCAGTAGGTTGTAAATGGGTATTCACATTGAAATTTTTGGCTGATGGTAGTCTTGAAAGGTATAAAGCTAGACTGGTTGCTAAAGGTTATACACAGAAAGAAGGTTTGGATTATACTGACATATTTTCTCCTGTTGCTAAGATGACCACAATTAAGTTGTTGTTGAAAGTTTCAGCTTCCAAGAAATGGTTTTTAAAGCAGTTGGATGTGTCTAATGCGTTTTTGAATGGAGAATTGGAAGAAGAGATATTCATGAAATTACCTGAAGAATATGCAGCAAGAAAAGGGATTCAACTACCATCTAATGCTGTTTGTAGACTGAAAAGATCCATTTATGGTCTTAAACAGGCTTCCAGACAGTGGTTCAAGAAATTTTCTGCTTCCTTACTCAGTTTGGGTTTTCAGAAAACACATGGAGATCATACTTTGTTTCTCAAAGAGTATGAAGGTGAATTTGTTATTGTCTTGGTATATGTTGATGATATTGTGATTGCAAGCACAAGTGAGGCTGCTGCAACACAATTGACTAATGACTTGACACTGAGATTTAAATTGAGAGATCTTGGTGATTTGAAGTATTTTTTGGGGCTTGAGGTTGCTAGAACGACTGCAGGGATTTCTTTATGCCAGAGAAAGTATGCTTTAGAGTTGTTGCAGTCTACTGGTATGCTTGGTTGTAAGCCGGTTTCAGTACCAATGATTCCTAATGTGAAAATGATGAAAGATGATGGCGATTTGCTAGAAGATAAAGAGCAATATCGCAGAATTGTTGGCAAGTTGATGTATCTGACAATAACAAGGCCAGATATCACTTTTGCAGTAAATAAGCTGTGTCAATTCTCTTCTGCTCCACGAACTACTCATCTTGCTGGAGCTTACAGAGTTTTGCAATATATCAAAGGAACAGTAGGTCAAGGTTTGTTTTACTCTGCTTCCCCTGATCTTACATTAAAAGGGTTTGCAGACTCAGACTGGGCTTCCTGTTCTGATAGTCGCCGTTCTACTACTGGTTTTTCAATGTTTGTGGGGGATTCTTTGATATCTTGGCGGTCAAAGAAACAACATACAGTATCCAGGTCCTCTGCAAAAGCTGAGTACAGAGCTTTAGCTTTGGCAACGTGTGAGATAGTTTGGTTATACACTCTTCTTACCTCTTTGAAGACTTCTCCAACGGTGCCTATTCTATTTTCAGACAGTACTGCAGCCATATACATTGCCACAAATCCAGTCTTTCATGAAAGGACTAAACATATTGAGATAGATTGTCATACAGTGAGAGAAAGATTGGATAATGGCCAACTTAAGCTACTTCATGTGAGAACTGATGATCAGGTAGCTGATATTTTGACTAAACCGTTGTTTCCCCATCAATTCGAGCATCTGAAATCCAAGATGAACATTCTTAACATCTTTGAATGCTCATCTTGAGGGGGCATATCAGATTATGTATATTGGTTTAGTAGGTTTACTTAGTTGGTTTAACTTAACCGATTGTATAACTGTATAGTTGTATACTATAAATACACTTGTACTGTAATCATTAATCAATAATGAGAAAATCATTTACAAATATCTGTAACAAACTTTTCTCTTCTTCTTCATCGTAATAAACATCGAGACATTGAAGTGTTTATGGTTTTCTCTTTAGTATCGTCGTTCATAATGTGTGGGTTACAATCAATTTATTTGGGCTTTCTCTCAGCTCTTCTACTCCAATGTTTGAAAGAAAATTCTTTGAGTTGTGATTATGTATTTTGGTTTTCTTGTGTGATCAAGACAAGTTTTTCAAAATTTGGGTCTTGCTTAAATTCCTGGGGTTTTTAGTTTGACACTTTGGTGAAGAATTTTGGTACTTGTGTGATATCATCAAGTTATGATCTTATGGTGCTTATGAAAATGTCATTTTTTTTTTCTTATGAGTAACGGATGTTTTAGATTATACATATTTATACTCAGTTAGAAATGCTCTGTTTTTGCAAAGGTGATCTGATGAAATGCTCTGTTATTGTTAAGGGTTTTAAGGACTAGCAATCAAAAACAGAACATGAAAGCTTACTGCAGAGAAAGAAAGCACTAGTACATACTGCAAATTGTGGTAAGATTTTCAGTTATTTCATTAATGTAAATTTCAAATCATAATGAAACTATCGCAACGACTAAACACACTAAACCTTTAATCCCTCACTATACAAAATGAACCAAAATTATGCAACTTTATAAGGTATTGGATTGAGAAATGAACATTCAAGTTAGTGATAGGAAAGCATAAATCAAAATAAACCTTCTTTTCTTAACGTGAACTAGCACCTGTTTTTCAGGCAATATAAACTAGCAGCTGTTTTTCTCTAGTCGTTGAACATTACTTACCATTTTAAAACAATAAAACACCACACAGTTCGTCATAAACCCCATTGATAGGTCGTAAAGACTAGTGAAATGTTTATGGCGTTCAACACCGTTGATTACTTGACATTTGCAATAATAAAAGGCTAAATTTGGTCTATTGGTCGATGTCTAACATTAATGCATAGTTGATTTTGTGTGATTGGGAGTTGAGTTCTCTAGAAACATGATTTTAATGCTCTGGTTGAATGACACTACCATGTCGTCTACATAAATTTTGCCGGTCCAATGAATCAAACTTTGAGTCAATGTCAACGTAAACTTTACTTACATTTTCCTCTATAAGTTGCATTACCACCATTCATTTTCCTGCAAAATATGAGAAATATGAGACTCTTTCTTTTACTTACTTTCATTGCGATCATGTTACTTGAAGCATATGGTTTTACCGATCATGAAACCGATAGGCAAGCGTTGCTGGAGTTCAAGTCTCAAGTTCCCGAAGACAAAAGAGTTGTCTTATCCTCATGGAATCACTCATTCCCTTATCTCTGCAACTGGAAGGGGGTCACATGTGGCCGCAAACACAAGAGAGTTACTCGTTTGGACCTTGGAGGCTTGCAATTGGGAGGAGTGATATCACCATCAATTGGTAATCTTTCCTTTCTCATATCACTTAATCTCTCCAATAACTCTTTTGGTGGAACCATCCCTCAAGAGATAGGAAACTTGTTTAGAATTGAACACTTGGATATGAGCTTTAATCTTCTCAGAGGAGGGATTCCAGCCAGTTTATATAACTGCTCTAGATTGTTGGACCTTGTGTTTTCTTCAAATCATCTTGGAGGAGGTGTTTCTTCAGAACTAGGGTTATTGACGAAGCTTGTTATTTTATATCTTGATAGCAATAAACTGAAAGGAACTCTCCCTCCATCTCTAGGAAACTTAACATCCCTTAGAGAACTTGGCTTGGAAAAAAACAATTTAAAAGGAGAAATTCCGGGTGATATAGCTAGGCTGACTCAAATGGAGTATCTTGAATTAACAATGAATAATTTCTCTGGTGTTTTTCCTCCTGCTATCTACAACTTGTCCTCACTTGAGTATTTATCCATGTTTGGTAATGGTTTTTCGGGTAATCTAAGGCCTCACTTTGGTAATTTTTTACCTAATCTTCAATATTTACTTATGGGAGAGAATTATTTTACTGGAGCCATCCCAACAACACTTCCCAATATCTCTAATCTCCAAATGTTCGGAATAGAGTATAACAATATGATAGGAAGTATTCCTTCTAGCTTTGGAAAAGTAAGGAATCTGCAACTCTTGACAGTTCTTGGTAATTCACTTGGAAGTCACTCTGTCGGAGATCTTGAATTTCTTGATGCTTTGACTAATTGCACCAAACTAAAAGAGTTAGATGTTGGTGATAATAGGCTTGGAGGTTACTTGCCTACTTCACTTGCCAATATGTCTACCAACCTGATTTATTTAAGCCTTGAAGTAAATCTCATCTCAGGAAGCATTCCTCTTGACATTGGGAATCTTATACACCTACAAACACTTGGGCTGGGAGTAAATATGTTAACAGGTGCACTCCCAACATCTCTTGGAAAGCTTTCGGAATTTGGGGTATTAGATGTCGCTTTAAATAAACTGACAGGAGAGATACCATCTTCTATAGGCAACATCACTCTATTAGAAAAACTCAATTTGTTCAACAATAGTTTTCATGGAATCGTTCCTCCGAGTCTCGGAAATTGTAGTCACCTTCTACATTTGTATATTGGGTCTAATAAGTTAAGTGGGACAATACCTCAAGAAATTATGGAAATTCGATCCCTTATCATTCTAAGCATGGCAAATAATTCTTTGACCGGCTCTCTCCCACAAGATATTGGGCAACTTCAAAATCTTATCGGGTTAGATGTTGCGCATAATAAATTATCAGGGAAACTACCGCATGATTTGGGAAAGTGTCTCTCGATGAAAGAACTTTATCTGCAAGGAAATATGTTTGATGGAAACATTCCAGACATAAGTGGGTTAGTGGGTGTTAAGAAAGTTGATATCTCAAACAATAATCTCTCTGGAAGTATACCTGGATATCTTGCAAACTTCTCCTTGTTGGAATATCTCAATTTATCGATTAACAATTTCCAAGGAAGGGTACCTACAGAAGGAAAATTTCAGAACTCTACTATAGTTTTGGTATTTGGAAACAATGATCTATGTGGAGGCATTAGGGAATTTCAACTAAAGCCATGCCTCGCGCAAGGATCACCAGTGGAGAAAAAGCATTTTTCTCAGCTAAAGAAAGTTGCAATTGGAGTAAGCGTAAGCATAGCTTTGCTTCTCTTGTTGTTCCTAGCTTTAGTTTCTCTACGTTGGTTCAGGAAAAAAAAGAGGAACCAGAAGAACAGTAATCCAGCTCCTTCCACATTGGAGGTTTTCCATGAGAATATAAGTTATGCAGAGCTCCGAAATGCGACAGATGGCTTCTCTTCGAGCAATATGGTTGGGTCAGGCAGTTTTGGTACTGTGTTTAAGGCATTACTCCCATCGGAGAACAAATTTGTTGCAGTGAAAGTTCTAAACCTGAAGAGGCGTGGAGCAATGAAGAGCTTTATGGCAGAATGTGAATCCCTCAAGGACACAAGGCATCGCAATCTTGTGAAACTATTGACAGCTTGTTCGAGTATTGATTTCCAGGGAAATGATTTCAGAGCTCTACTCTATGAGTTCATGCCGAATGGAAGCCTAGATATGTGGCTGCACCCAGAGGAAGAGGAAGAGACTCGTAGGCCCTCAAGAACCTTGACACTTCTTGAAAGGCTTAACATTGTCATAGACGTGGCTTCTGTTTTGGACTATCTTCATGTTCATTGTCATGAGCCTATAGCTCATTGCGATCTTAAGCCAAGCAACGTCCTATTAGACGATGATCTAACTGCCCATGTTAGCGACTTTGGTCTTGCTCGTCTTCTCCTCAAATTCGACCAGGAGTCCTATTTCAACCATCTAAGCTCGGCCGGTGTCAGAGGAACCATCGGCTATGCCGCACCAGGTAAAACTATCCCACATCTGCAGTATTATACAAAGATGATTAGTATATTCTGCTATCGTTACAATCTTGTTGTTGTTGTTTCTGTGAATTATGGTGCAGAATATGGAATGGGAGGGCAGCCGTCAATACATGGTGATGTATATAGCTTTGGGGTTCTCATTTTGGAAATGTTCACCGGAAAAAGACCAACCAATGAATTATTTGGGGGAAACTTTACCCTACACAGCTACACCAAATCGGCATTCCTGGAAAGAGTATTGGACATTGCAGACAAATCGATTCTTCACAATGGTCTCAGAGTCGGTTTCCGTATTGCTGAGTGCTTGACATTGGTTTTGGAGGTAGGACTTAGGTGCTGTGAAGAATCTCCTACGAACCGGTTGGCAACGAGTGAAGTCGCAAAGGAGTTGATCTCAATCAGAGAGAGGTTCTTTAAAACCAGAAGGACAGCCAGACGTTGAAGTGTTATGGTTTTGCCTACAAAACTTTGCAGTCCACTTAAAAGGCTTTATATGAGGCCTATATAATTTGTATTTTTTTCTCAAATAAACATACTTATGCTTGCAGAATATTGTTTATGAATGCTTGTGTTATTTGCTGACAATTTATGTACGTTGTGTTACCAGCTTTATAATATCTAGTCTTCAATGTTCCAACTTTATTTGGATTTTCTCAGTTTTCTCAGTTGTTCATCACAATGACTGTCTTTATGAACTCCATAACTGTTGAAACTAATTGACTTTGGTGCTCGGTATAACAATGATTAGCTCCTTCCACAATCTCCAGCTTGTGGTTCGGTATGACCTTTGCAAACTCCTTCGCATCTTCCACACGTATTACCTCGTCAGCCGATCCATGAACCGTTAAGACCCTGTCATTACAATCAAACACGGTTTGTTTATACCCCAAACGTCACCCAATATGAGTTAGAGAACTCAGCGAGTCTCACCTGCATTCTTTGTCAATCTTGAGGCAAGCTTCATGAATATCAGTGCTTAACCTGTCCATTAAACTCTTCTCAGTAACACGATACCCCGATTTTCCTGCAAAAGACCAGCACATTGATAAATACACTAGAGTTCTGATCAAAGACAATGCAGAAAAACCAAAGAGTGATAACAATACCATCTCCAACATCAATGAATCCTTGTTGCTTAATTCTTTCCAAAAAATCTTCACCAAGACGTTCCCTTATGCCATTTTTAAGATCATAACGTCCCGAGAGATTGATTACATTGCGGACATCGTGATAGTTGGAGGCATAGAGGAGAACCACATCACCTCCCTTACTATGCCCGAGAATGATAGGAACCACACGGTTCTTGTTAGAGAAGTATTGGATAACAGAATGTAGATCATCAGCTTCATGGTTATAGTTACCATAATAGAAACTGCCTTCACTCTCTCTGCAACAATGGAAGCACCACCACTCCCAAAATCAAAAACAAAATCCAAATGATTCAAATCATTGGTAATGCAAAGAAAATGAAACATACCCATTCCCAGAGAAATCAAAACGAAAAGCGCTGATTCCTTCTTTCTCTATAGCAGCAGCCACATTATTCATAATTTGGTTATTCTGCATAGTTTCACATGCCAAAGACAAATATAATCAAGTCTCAAATCTCAGTCACCACAAGAGCTGAGAAAAACAGAGACCCAAAAAAAAAGGTTGCGACTTTACGTTGGTGAGTCACTGATTACAATTCAAGATTCATATTTCGATAAAGGGTTAATCAAAAATCAACACACTAACCTTGTTTGATCGAAATCCATGGCACAAGACTACAATTTCTGTTGAACCAGTTTCATGAAGTAGACCAACCAGCTTCTCGTTGTGTCTGTTCGGAATCACAATCCTCTGTTCTTGAATTCCCTTAGACGAATCCATTCTCAAATTGTTTGCTTTGTTGCAAGAGATTTGTTGATTGTTCTTGATGGGAAGGCGAACGTTGAAGAAGGATGATTTGGGAAAAGGGGAAGTTTTGTAATAAAGAGAATCTTGAGGGGCAAAATTGAAGTTATGCAAAAGAGTTCTCATTGTTTCATATCACATGAACTGTTGACGAGGATAATGAGATTTTATTTTATTACTAGGGTAAAATCCGGGCTACGCCCGGGTATATATTTTATAATCTTGTTAATTTAGTTTTACTCTATCTTTAGTTTCTTTAGTGAAAACAATTGATAATTTTAATACATGCATGTGAAACAATCAATAATTTTTTAACTGTAATATAATTCGTTATTATTTTTATTACTATTAATGTGCATAGTATTACCCTCATCTATATGTCCTTCTTGCCATTTTTTTGTCATTTATTTTTCTATCGTCTCTATTTTTTTTTTTAACAAAATTTTGTTCTCCATTGTAATAACTTTGGGTTCATACAACTTTGTTCAAAAACATAATTAGAATCTTAAACTCAACGTTATTTTTATATGTAATATTTAACTATGTTTGTAAACGGAAAGTAATTTCCACGAGCATTTGAACAAAGTTAAATCTTATTATAATCTGAGTTTTGAAGTAAAGTCATTTTCGGTTTAAAAAACATCTATATCAATGATATTTTATAACTACATATCGGTAATGTAAGATTAATTAATATTTGATGACAACTTTAAAAAATTTTATGGGGAAAATTCCCAAAAAAAACCCGAAGTAATTTTTATTTGGACGTTTAATACCCAATTATTTTAGATTGGAATAAAAAAACCTCATTAAATTATTTGTTGTCGTAAAATACCTCGTATATTAACTATTGGTAGAATCGAATCCGCAAGTTAACAGCCGTTAACGGACGTAACGGAATTATTAACGGTGTTAGATTTTAACCCAACACATTTGAATGAATATATAGAATCTGTTTTGAAAAATTTATGATTATGTTGATGTGGCATGTTGGTTATGCGTGAGTTCAGTTCCCATTAGACTCGGGTTTGAATCCTTCCAAACGCAGTTGTTTTTATTTTTGTTTTATTTTTCTTTTTCCTTTTCTCTAACCCTAGCCGCCGACCAACTAACTAAACGCAGGTTTTTTTTTTTTCGACTGTTGCCGGCGGAGGAGTCTGTGACGATTACAAAAATCCGTATTCTCTCGGGGCTGTGGCTTCTTCTTGATCCTTTTCTGCGATCGGGGATGAGAGCTTTAGTGTTTGTAAAGGTTTAGTGAGTGAAGAAATGCTGGGAAATACAAAGGCTATGATTGATGGTGTGGGTCTAGCGATTTGTGACTCGATCTGGGAGAGGAATTGGAAGTTCTTGTTCATGGGTTGGATGAAGCTATCATTTCTGGAACGGTGGTGGTCGACGGCAGTGAAGGAGCGAAGAAAAAAAAAACCAGAAATCAACGAAGGGGAAGAAGAGAAAAAAAAAAAAAAAACTTTAAAAGAAAAAATTAAGAATATTTGCGTTTAGTTAGTATCGAAGCCGGGCCTAAGGGTACCTAATGGGAACTGAACTCACGCATAACCAACATGCCACATCAACATTATCATAAATTTTTCAAAACAGATTCTATATATTCATTCAAATGTGTTGGGTTAAAATCTAACACCGTTAATAATTCCGTTACGTCCGTTAACGGCTGTTAACTAGCGGATTCGATTCTACCAATAGTTAATATACGAGGTATTTTACGACAACAAATAATTTAATGAGGTTTTTTTATTCCAATCTAAAATAATTGGGTATTAAACGTCCAAATAAAAATTACTTTGGGTTTTTTTTGGGAATTTTCCCAAATTTTATGTGAGAAATCTTGATATATATACAAAAGAGTAACATTAAACTTTAGAGGTGTGAGTGGTAGATTATAATTAGTTACTGAAATCAAATTTGTAGTAATATGCCAAAAAAAAGAATTCAAATAATTTGAGGCTACGAAAAACTTAATCAAAGTCTATACGAACTATATATGCTAACCAAAATCTTTCACCACCAGCCAAAATCTATAATGACGGCTTGGATTCTCAAATTAACCATGCAAAACAAAAAGAAATTTACTAATCAAATATGTGTGGGAACATAATCTATGATTTCAACTGAATTGTTCCATTATGACATGGAAATAATTAGTTGACATACCTGCTGTAGTTTAGACGATTATGTAGACCAGACGACATGAGAAAACAATATGAATAACCGAACGACAAACCATATATACACTTATTAAACCAAACGATCCAAACTATCAGTCTATAAATAAGTAATAAGTAACAACCAGCAACAAACATATTCCTTAAAACAGAGATATTTGGGCATCGATGAGTTGAATAAAAGAGTATAGGGCTTCCATTGTTGTAGAGTTTTGAGTTTTTTTTAATACATAAAGCATGAAGTTCCCTTTAAAAATGAGCCCCAAGTAGATTAGTTCTCATACAAAGAAAATGAAGAAAGCGAATAATGTTTTTTTAGAAGAAGTTAAAACCTTCAAGCATTATATGAAACAATCAAAGTTAAAAATGGAACAGTTTGAACATAAGCATTGATCTAAAAGGGAAATGGATTGCTATTGAATTTAAGTTACCTGAATTACATATTGTACCAAAGAAACTATGTATATCCTTGCAACAAAAACACTCTTGGATTTGGTTTTGAGTTATTCGCAAAGACATTAAAACTCCATTATGATATATCAAACTCACGAGATGAAGAGCTTTGACCTTCGACGTGTGGAATAGTGTTTGAAATCCCTTATTAAGGGAGAATCGTAGCTTCGACCCGATCTTTCGTGACATCATCTTTCTCTGAAACAATGTTCAAAATCGCCGTCAATTTCATCAAAATCTAAAAATTTGATGGATGGTAAGAAGTGCAGAGAGCTTTCGATGCCATGATTGGATTTGATATGCTGATTGCAGAGGCTTTTGGTTGACTGGTACAGTGACGTAGGGCATGGTTTTATAAGCTTTCGGAAGAGAGGTCATCATTATGAGGGGAGTAGCCAATAAATTCATTGAATGGAGAAGATATAGGGGACAATAAATACGTCGAAGTGGAAACGGTGGCAGTTTTTTTTTAGAGATTTGTAAGACAAATCGATTCGACTTAAACTGTAGTGATTTAGCCATTTAGGTTAGACGAAGATGATGACGATCGTCGAGCTCTGAGATTTAAAAACTCAGAAGGTATATTTCTTCTTTGTTTGGGATGTAGTAGTTTAGTTGGGCCTTCTCTTATTTGCTCAGTCCAACATATATTTTCTCAAACAATACTAAGTTTACGGAGAGTTTATAAGAGAAGAGCATTTAGAGTATGATGATGTGGCACCATTTTAGAGTGTTTTGTTTTTGCTGATGTGGATAGGCTGAGAGGCCTCAATGAGCACATTTTATTAATAAGAGATTTTTTAGTGAGAAAAGGAAAATGAATTGAAATTTTTATTTATTTTTAAAAACCTTTACTTGCAAGAATCGTCCAAATATTATTTAGACGATTCTTGCAAGTAAAGGTTTTTAAAAATAAATAAAAATTTCAATTCATTTTCCTTTTCTCACTAAAAAATAATAAAATAAAATCTTATCCATCTTTATCAATTCCCGAGACCAGCAAAAAGTAATGGTTCAGTTACTGATCCATCTTTAAAAGTTAACGACCTTACAGATAGTCGGTCGAACTTTTGGAATATTGATCTCTTAAAAGATATCTTTGATCCAGAAGATGTCGCGCTAATAAGCGTCATACATGTGGGTGCACCAACAAAAGAAGATTCTTTAAGTTGGCATTTTACAAAATCTGGGAAATATACAGTCAAATCGGGATATCATACCACACGGCTAGAAAAGTTGGAGACCAATTTACCCTTTTTTGGTCCTGACATCAACACGCTAAAAGCATATTCTTGGCAAGTGCAGTGTCCACCAAAGATACGTCATTTCTTGTGGCAAATCTTAACGGGTTGTGTACCGGTTACGGAAAATTTACAGAAAAAAGGAATTGATTGTGACACGGGATGTGCTAGATGTGGCGCACCAGAGGAAACGATCAATCATACACTCTTTCAGTGCCACCCGGCATGACAGATTTGGGCACTTTCCCAGATTCCTACGGCTATGGGGATTTTTCCCACGGAATCTAATTTTGCGAATTTGGATCACTTATTTTGGCGAATACCTTCGGAATTTGATTCATCAGCCTTCCCATGGATTATTTGGTATATTTGGAAAGCAAGAAACGAAAAGATCTTTGAAAATATAGATAAAGACCCAATAGAGGTATTACGATTAGCGGAAAAAGAGGCACAATTGTGGCAGTCAGCTCAATTTGAGCTCCATAATGAAAATCATGGTTTTTCGGACTTGGTAAATCAAACTCGAGTGAGGGATGCTTCACTTGAGTCGAATTATTCTGGATACCGTTGTTTTGTGGATGGATCATGGAAAGAAAGTGATAAGTTCTCCGGTACAGGGTGGTTCTGTACATCGTCAAATGGAGAGCCGCCAACCATGGGAGCTGCGAACCTCCGTAGAAGTCTATCTCCACTACATGCCGAAGTCGAGACCCTTCTCTGGGCGATGAAGTGTATGATTGGTGCAGATAATCAAGAGGTAGCGTTCTTTACAGACTGTTCAGACCTGGTGAAGATGGTGTCTTCTCCAACCGAATGGCCAGCGTTTTCAGTGTATTTGGAGGAATTTCAGAGCGACAAGGAGGAGTTTTCATCTTTTTCTTTATCTTTAATTTCTCGTAGGACTAATGTCAAAGCGGATAAACTGGCACGAAAAGTTCGTACAGAACCGCTTCATATCACATATGTAAACAACATTCCTCAGAATTGGCTCTTTTGAGCTCTATTTAGTTTCGGATGACAAAAAAAATATATATATTTGGACTATTATATTATATATAAATAATTTATTTTTTTGTCGCTATCTCTTACTAATAAAAGGTGTTCTTCGAGGTTTCTCGGTCTATCCAAACCAGCAAAAACAAAAGTATTCTAAAATATTGCCACGTCACCCAAACTACAATTTTTTTTAAAAAAAGT